AGTCAGAAGATGGTGTGGTGGTTAAAGGCACTGCACTCCCAACGTGGCAGACCACAGTTTGAGTCCCGAACCTCGTGGCTTGTGTTCTCACTTTCTCTCTCTCTCTCGTCAAATTTTAAAAATAATAATAATAAAATTAAACCAAAACTGTTTTTTAAAAATTACCTGACAAAAATCATAGATTTCTAAAATATAAAAATAGAAAGGTCCAACAGCAGACTAGATTAGGCAGAAAAAAGAAACATGAACTTTGAAACAGGTCACTAGAAATTATCCACTATGAGGGAGCAAAACGAAAAAAAGATTAAGAGTAAAAATAGCTTAAGAGCCATTGGGTTCAGAAGGTAGCATGGTAGCTAAGGTGCTAGACTCCCACATGACTGACCACAGTTCAAGTCCCAGACCTGGCAGATTCCTTTCTTACTTTTCATCTCACTCTCTGGTCAAATTAAAAAAATAATAATAATAATAAATAACATTTTTTCAAAAAGACTCATCAAGTGGAACAACTTACACATTATCAGTGTGCCAGGAAAAAGAGAAAGAAAACATATTCAAAGAAATAACAGCAGAAAACTTATCCAGGGGGCCAGCTGGTTGTGTAGTGATTAAGGTGGCTGGATCCTACATGGCTAACAGCATGGTTCAAGTCCCAGACCTAACAGCTTAAAAAACACATAGGGTATATATGTGTGCATACCCATATCTCAAAAGGAGAAAAGGGGGAGAAGAGATTGCAGTAGACTATTCCCTATGGAGGAGTGCTTTGTCACTTTCTTCCTCTCTCCAGTGAGCACATGCACATTCTATTAAATTTAAAAAAAAAAGAATGCCAAAGAAGACCAAAGGACACCAAATAAGATTAAAAACAAAAACAAAAACAAAAAAACAAAAAAAACCCACCCACACTGGGGCCAGCAGGTGGTGTGGTGGTTAGGACACTGAACTACCACATGGCTGACACTGGTTCAAGTCCTGGGCCCAATGGCTTAAAAATAATTCCAGATACATGAGCATGTGCCTAAAACTTTGAGAGGAGAATGAAGGAGAAGGAAAGGTATTGTGGCCATCCCCCCCAGGAGATGATTTTTCATTTTCCCTGTCTCTCTGTCTCTCTCTGGCAAGCACATATGCCCGATGTCAAAAACCTAAAGAGGGACCAGCAATTAGCGTAATGGCTATGTCGCTGGACTCCCATGAATTCGACTGCGGTGCAAGTCCCAGACCCGATGGCTTAAACTCACGCTGGGCGCGTGTGCGTGCGTGCCCAAGATCTCGAGAGGAGAATGGAGGAGAAGGGATTGCGGCGTGGCCATCCCCCCTGGGGGGTGATTTCCTGCTTTCTGTCTCTCTGTCTCTCTCTGTCTGTCTGGCGAACACACGCGCCCTATAGCAAAAAATCTCTCAAAAAAAAAAAAAAAACCTAAAGAAAAAAAAAAACTACACACACCGAGGCATATCACTGTCCCATTTATAAACAGCATCAAATAAAACAAAATATGTAAGAGTAAATTTAACCAAGGAAATGAAAGATCTGTGTACCCAAAAACTACACAAAACAATCTACCCAGACCAGATTCAGTACAATTCCTACCAAAATTTCAGTATCATTCTTCACAGAAATAGAAAAAAAAAATCTTGGAATTCATATGAAACCACAAAAGACCCCAAACAGCCAAAGCAATTTTGATGAAAAAGAATGAAGGTATCACACATCAGATTCCAAAATGTACAATAAAGCTATGGTAATTAAAACAACATGGTGGAGCCAGCAGGTGGTGTGGTGGTTAAGGTGTTGGGCTCCCACATGTTCCGACTGTGGTTCAAGTCATGGACCCAGTGGCTTGGAAATCATGCTAGGTG